GAGCAATCTACTTCCATAGAGATACCACTTTGGAAACCCAAGGAGGGGTTGCTATGAGTCAAAATGACTCAACTGCAGTGACTTTCTTCTTTTTTTGCTTTATTACAGTTATAATTACCTATTTTATAGATGAAGAACTAAGGTTCATAGTGCTATGAACTTTATGTGCTTGTTTAAGTGACAGGGCTAAAATCTATAACTAAGCTGACAAGCCCTAGCACAGTTGAGAACCTACCAGCATATACCAGGCACACTGCTAGTTACACAAAGAAAAGATGAGTTGGATAAAGCCCTAGCTTCAGAGGACAGGCAGAGGATCTGGCAGGAGATGTAAATAAAACAAAGAACAAGGTTCTAGGAGAAAAGCAAAAAGAAAGTTGACTTCTACTTCATGGACAACACATACGATTAGATCTTAAACCATGAGTTTCACTACTTAGAACATACTAGATCTTGAATTAGGCTTAATTTCCTGTAGTCTTACTTCTCCAACTAATTGTCTTCTCTCTGAAATGAGAAGTTATGTTTTCATATGGTTCCTAAGATCCTAACATAGGTGTTCCAGAAATATTTATGAAGGGATGGGCTGATCTTTTAGTCTGGCAGCAACTGTCCCTTCTAAAATGACACATATTTGAAATGGAAGGGTCTAGGGTTTTTCAAAAACATTACCAAAAACAAGACAAAAGAAAACCTGTTGCTGTTAACTTGATTCTGACTCATTGTGACCTTATACAAGATACATTAATTGCTATTTATACTGTCTCTTTGCAGTTAAAGCTTAACTTCAGCTGTCTTTAAAGATGGTTAGCTTTCATCAGTAGTATTACTAATACTACTTTCATTCAAGACATTTGAGAATTCGAAGGAATTGCAGCAACTAAGTTTTGGTAGAGAAGGCAGAGCTAGCCAAGCAAACACCAACCAAAGAAACTGAGGAACAGCTAGACAATCAGAGGGAAAATCAGGAGTGGAGTATCAAGAAGTGAAGAAAGGAGTGCTCTGAGAAGAATGTGGTTAATAATGCTACAAGAAGACAGGTAAGTTAAGAACCAAAAGTATCATTGGGTTTACATACTCTTAGACATTATTATCTCATAGAAAGAACAGAAAACTCAGAACTAGAATGAGCTGAGGACTTATTTGAGGTGAGGAAAGAGAGACAGGAAGGATAATTGGTTGCAAAGTGTGATTATGAAGGGAAAGAAAAAGGTTCAGTGCTAACAGGATAGAGCTGGAAGGTTGAGAAAGGACTGCTATTTTGTTTTAAAAAGAGAAAAATGATCATGGAAGCATGTTTTCCATTGATTTGCATTAACATTATGATAATGATGGAAATATTTTTTTCACCACAGCAAAAAGCATTACCATATAATTTTTCAATTCCCTTGAACTGAACATAAAGGTCTCTCACTTTGCTGGGTAATGAATAAAAAGGACCACGGTCATCTGATGATGACTCAAGTGTTTTCTTAGCAACATTAATTTCTTCAGATAGAAGAGTCTCTTTGAGCTGTTTAGTCTTAGAAAATACTGGTGTTTGGGTCTTGGCATTTCCAGTCATGGCACTTTTTAGATGATCTTTAAGACTTTTTCTCCTAGTCACATCTGAACTAGTTCGGACTTTAGAAGAAGATTCATTATTTTGTTGGGGGAGCTCTATGCGATTATGGGGCAATTCTTCATTCATAGTCTGGTGAAAGGATGAATTCCAGTCCCTTTCTTTAGTAAATTGATCGTCCAAATCATCTGCAGAGGTCTGCAAATTTTCAAAGTATAAAACCTGTGAAGAAGGTACATCATATAAAAGATCAGTTCCAGGTTCAATAATGACATCCTCATGCTCACTCTGGTTCTTTGTATGTTTATCAGTTTTCCATACAGTACAGGTGTCTACAGCAGTAATGCTGATTTTATTGTCTTTAATGCTTTGTGAACAAAGATCTTCAGTGTCAAGGTCTGTATCGTGTTTCTTATACTCAGGAAGTTGCACACATTTTTGTTCCAGATCATCAACTTGAGCTAAAAAGGAGTTTTCAGTAAAGCTATCATAGTCACCAAACATATCTTCTTCACTGTCATTATACTGGAAAGAAAGCAAAAATGTTTACGATTAATTCAAGCTTTATTAAGAATAAAAGCTTAAGCCTAGGGCTGTATCAGGGATAAAATTATACAGTAGAGTTTTTAAAGTCACTGGAAAATACTGACTGATACTTTAAACTCAGGTTTTAAATGATCCTCTTATAAAAATTTCCATAACTAAGTTATTTGGAAATTTTTGAATTATACTGTATATTAAAAGATGATGACTGAAAATTATGGAATAATACATAAAGGAAAGTATCTAATCCTGAATTTTAAGAAAAGTGTATAGTACTACTTTTTTAAAAAGTAATATCCAAACTAGAATATTAAGAACTGTAAGAGCATCTATATTTGCCCCATATTAGACAAAAATAACATTTAACTTGGAAAATGTTACCCAAAACATCTATGTTGTACATACATAAATACAACATCTAAATACAAAAAAATAAAAGGGAAAAGAGGTTTATCTTTATCAGACAAGTAAATTCACAAATACAAGTCACTGGAGAGTCACCAGAAGCATGAAACTGCTATAAACATCATGATAAATAAATACTATATAGATACTGAAAAGGGGGAACAATTACGAAAGAAAACAATCTGGGAAGTAGGGTGGGGAAGGGTTAATGAGAAGTAAAGAAATCACAATTTCACATTAAACAGGCAAAAAACAAAACAAAAAATACCAAGCTTAAAATATTGATTGAGAAGTTAGGGGAAAAAAAAAAGCTACCTAAAGTAAAGAGTGTACAGTCTCACTTGACAATTGGAGAAAAATAAAGCAAAAGTAAAACGTATTAACAGTAAGTCTAGACATTGATGGACCATGCTAAGCACTTTGCACACATTTCACTTAGTTCTTAATGACCCTATAAAATAGAAAATATCATCCCCATTTTACAGAGGATGACAGAGATGTCTAAAGAGGTTGAGTGACTTGCCTAAAATGAACTCCTAGCATGTGGTAAAGGAGCTCTGGTAGCATAGTGGCTAAGGCACTTGACTGCTAACCAGAAGGCTGGCGGTTCAAACCCACCAGCCACTCCTCAGAAGGAAGGTTGGGCATTCCTACTTCTGTAGTGATACTGCCTAGGAAACCCAAGGAAGGGTCACTATGAGTCCGGGCCAACTCGATGGCAAACAACAACAGCATGTGGTAATGCTGGAATTCTAATTCTTAAGTCTGCTTTAACTACTGTGCTAAATCCTCAAAATCACAAGACTGGTAGACAGCTCATTAGGAGTTTCTGATACCATTACACTACCAGACTCAAATTTACGGAAACTGGCCTGTAACAAAAGCATAATTTTAACGGACATTCCAAGGAGATTCTTCTCCTAGGAATTTGGAATTGGGTCTGATGGAGAGTCAGCACAGACCTGGGGTAGTCCACTACAGGAGAGATGTAAACTTGGAGGTCGCAACATTATAGTGTTGACTTCTAAAGGCATGTTCCCTCTTGTAAAATGTAGATACTCTAAATACCATAGGGACTTGACTGCTAACCAGAAGGTTGGCGGTTCAAACCCACCAGCCACTCCTCAGAGGGAAGGTTGGGCAATCTACTTCCCTACAGATACCGCCTGGAAAACCCATGGTGGGGTCGCTATGGGTTGGAGACGACTGGCCAGCACATAACAATAACAACAAATACCATAACAAGTTACCAAGCACATAATGTATCTTCAATAAACGGTAGGTTTCATTAGTATAGTAGGAGCAGCAGTAACTTCAAAGTCGAGGTTTGAGTTGCAGTCATGCCACTTACGTGCTGTATGTACAACTTTTATGTCTCGGGGCCCACCTTTCGCAATTATATTAAAATGGCGATAAGGAGGCAATACCTTATAAAGATTAACAGAGATAACAAAGCTTGTTGTTGTTATGTGCCGTGGAGTCGGACCGACTCATAGTGACCCTCCTTAGGTTTCCGAGGCGGTATCACTACGCAAGTAGATTGTCCAACCTTCCTTCCCAGGAGTGGCTGGTGGGTTTGAACCGCCAGCCTTCTGGTTAGCAGTCAAGTGCCTTTGGCACAACCCTCCCAGAGCTTAGGTAAACAAAAAGCGGCTATTACATAATTGGACAATTGTTTGCACCCAGAAGGGAAACTACACAAATTTTGGAGTTTCGAACTCCACGCCTTCTTTAACTGGTTTTTCACCCTTCCCCAGTGGGTGTGATGGAAGATCATCCGAAGGACTGAGTTTGTATCACCGCCCCAAAAGTGATGGGACGAGGAATCTGAGATGCCACGGAATTTGAAAAGTGATGGGGCTGTACCTGGACTGGTTGCACGCCCACGGTTTTCCGCCGCCGGCTCCCTGCCACCACCTCCTCCTCCTCCTCGACATTCCCTGTTCGGAGCTCCGCCGCGGTGGAGGGGGCACAAACGCTTCTTAGGCTAGGACGGTTCCTTTTGCGGACAGATACCCGCCGGCGGGTGTGGGAACCATTATCATCCATGGCAAGGGCCGAGAGCCCTGCCAGAACGTTGACCCCTCTGATCCGACAGCCAAATCCAGGCGGAGGACCGAGTAGACGGGAGGTCACAAGAGGGGACAACCGCGTTCACTTCCATGCACCTTCGGGAAAGACCCCAAGTTAATTTCCAGAGCTCTCAGGTCGAAAACAGACCCTTGGGCTACCCGAGCGGACAATCACACGAGCCCGTCCAATCCTAAGTGTCCTTTGACTTGAGGCGCAGTGGCGGGCGAACGGAATGTACTGCGCAGGCGCACTAAGGGAAAAAAAAAAAAAACACCACACCCATCTACTGTTTGCGGGTGTCTGTGGTGTTCGCCCACGGAACCTTCAATGGAGTGCTCTAGCCAATTGGGGAAGAACACCGGAAGGGACTTGTCCGGACGATTTGGAAAGAGGAAAGGAAAAGGAAGTACACAGAACTATGGCAGCTGTGGTTGCAGTTGGGGGTGCTCTAGAGAGAAGAAGATTGACGCAGTTGTTAACAGCTGCCGTCTGCCTCACTGATTCCGGAACTCATTCGGGTAAAGCGGTCTTAATGTACTGTGCTTTGTTGTAGCATTGCAGCCATTGCCTTGAGGAATCGTCACTCTTATTAAAGAGACTGTGGCTTCTAGGTGATTAATAGTTTATCTATCATGCGTAGGAATCTGTGACCCAGAGCTAGTATTTTGAGCTGAAGGAGTGTGATAACCATCCAGTCCACTCCATTTTTTTTTCTCTCTGTTTTAAACTGCAAAGAGTGGTGGAGTAGTTCTCAGAAAGAGACTGGGACTTTCCTAAGATCTGCAAGTAAACTTGGTTAGAAAGGACCATTTTCAGAGCCACCGAGCAGCTGATTTCAAAAATCTGTATTCCCAAACTAGGAGGAATTGTGCCAAACCTCCGAATCTCATTTCTTTCTGCACTTTAATCTTTCCAGTATGACTGCTTGCTTCTCTGTTCTCTCTGGTATGGCAATGCCTGTTCTTTTTACCGTAAATACTTGAATTAAAATCTGTCTGTTACCATACAGTGAAGGGAAAATAAATTTCAGGAAGAGAGCAGGTGAGAGGTCTTATGGTGGGGAAATGATGTTCCCTTACCTCCCCTCCCAAAAAAACTGGAAAGCACGCCCATTTTAAGTCCCACTTTGTCCTCAATCAAAACTAAAAGTTGTTAATCCAGTCATTGTGATTATAGTGAATATAAAACCTTTATATGTGTCCTTTGATTCATCTTGCCTCCATAAACCAAAAATCTTTCTTTAGCTACTTAACTAACAAAAATAATCTGTTTGTTGCTGTTTCTGTTCAATTGTAGTGCTGTGGAGAAGAGCTTGTTCACAATATAAACAGGTGACCAGCAATGAGGACCTGGTAAGAGATTTTATACTTCCCATTCATGAAACTTTGGCAAATATGACCAAATTCTTGTATCTTAGCTATTTACTAAGTAAAGTTCCACTATAGGAGAGAACAAGTAAAACAGTAATCACTGCTCTGAGTTTGAAAATTCATTCACTGATGACTAGTCAGTTAAGCGGATTTTGAAGTAAGAGGATTGCAAGATTCCAGCCAAAGGTGACTTCTATAACACATTTTTCTTCCTAGATCTTAAGTTTAAGAACATATGATTTGGGAATTAAAAAAAGGTAGCTTTAGTGGATGGAATAATTATAGAAAATTGATGGATACAAAGCTTAGCTATAGGTTAGCTCTTTTCCTAGTTAAGAATTCACAACATTTTTCTTGTCTTCATCTCATCATTTTTGGGGGAGTTGTCTTAATAAACGAGGGATCAGAATTAAAGATTTATACCATGAAATGAAGTACAGTTTCTGTTAACCTGCAGATATGACTTAAAGTACTAGCATTGGACTTGGGGATTATAGGTTTCCTTACTACTTGCCAAGATAATTTGTTTGACACTAATCTGACTATGAGAAGTCTTGGTGATGCAACAGTTGAACGCTTAGCTGCTAACTGAAAGGTTGGTGGTTTGAACGCATCCAGCGGATCTGAGGGAGAAAGACCTGGCAGCAGTTCCCACAAAGATTACAGCTTAGAAAACCCTATGGGGTAGTTTTACTGTATAACATGGGTCACTCTGAGTTGAAAATTGATGTCACTGGATCCAGCAACAAAGGAGCTCTGGTGGCGTAGTTCCTAAAGCATTTGACTGCTAACTAGAAGGTTGGTGATTCAAACCCACTAGCTACTCCATGGGAGGAAGATGGAGCAATCTGCTTCCATAAAGATTTACTGCCTTGGAAACTCAATGGGGTCACCATGAATCAGAATCGATTCAGTGGCAGTGAGTTTGGATTTTTGGTTTGGGCACCCAGCAACAGCAACAGTTAGATTATACAAAGCACTCAGCACAGTATTGAGAAAGAATGGAGTCACTAATGTAATATAAGCTGAATGTAAATTGAATTAAGAAAGTTTGTTATGGTTAGTTGCTATCGAGTCATTTCTGACTCATGGCAACCCCATGTATGCAGAGTAGGACTGTGCCATAGGGTTTTCAAGGCTGTGACATTTGGAAGCAGATTAATAGGCCTGTCTTCTAGGCACCTCTGGATAGGTGTGAACCACAACCTTTTGGCCAGTAGTTCAGTGCTTAACCATTTATGCCACCCAGGTACTCTAAGAAACTTAAGGAGTTGGATAGAACTAGAGAACTCTTCTGGCTCCTCAAAGCATCCATCTTGGTCATCTAATTGACCATCATAGTTCAAACGAGTAAAGGAAGTTAGTTTTTCAGGCCATAAACTTCATTGAGACTGATAAAGTTATGGGCTGGCTCCTCAGAAAAAGGCACAGGCCCACTCATTTGAAATTTTGCATATAATTACAGAGATCACGGACTTCAAAGTGATTTCTAGACTAAAAATCTCTGCATAGGAGACAAAGGATCTCTGGTGGTGTAGTGGTCAAAGCCTTCAGCTGCTACACAAAAAGTTGGCAGTTGAAACCCACCAGCTGCTCTGCTGGAGAGAGATGAAGTATTCTGCTTCTGTGAAGATTTATAGCTTTGGGAAACCCTATGGGGCAGTTCTGCTCTGTCTTACGCAGTTTACTATGAGTAGGAATCAACTCAATGGGAGTGGGTACTAGAAACAACCATACTGACAGTCACAGGGAGGCATTAAGACAGAAGAAGCATTAGAGGCAGTAGTGAAGACAGAAAAGCCAGAAAATGCTGACCAAATGTATAAAGCATTTGGGGCCATGAAGTTGAAGACAGTGTCCTCTTTATAGTATGCCACAGGGCCATTAGCACAGCTGTTATCTGTTGGGAGCTCTGGTAGCATAGTGCCTAATGCACTTGACTGCTAATCAGAAGGCTGGCGGTTCAAACTCACCAGCCACTCCTCGGAAGGAAGATGGGGCAATCTACTTCCGTCATGATACTGCCTCGGAAACCCAAGGAGGGGTCGCTATGAGTCGGGTCCAACTCAACGGCACATAACAACAACAACAACATACTAAAATACACTTTCAAAATATAAAATTTTCAGTTACAAAATCTGGACAGAGCATTTGAGCAGAGAATCACTTTCCAATCACAGATTTGAATTTTCTCCTTCGATACCCATTTTTTTTTTTTTCTTTTTTCCCTGCAAACAATGTACTTTATCCTGGAATCCTCCATAAGTTAATTCTGCCTGTTATAGTTGTTAGGTGGTATCAAGTCACCCTATGTACAACAGAAGGAAACACTGCCCAGTCCTGTGCAATCCTCAAAATTCTTGGCTGTGCTTGAGCCCATCATTGCAGCCACTGTGTCATTCCATCTCATTGAGGGTCTTGCCTTTCTTTGCTGACCCTCTTACTTTACCAAGCATGATACCTTTCTCTAGGGAATGGTCCCTTCTGACAACATGACCAAAGTAGGTAAGACAAAGTCTGGCTATTGTCGATTCCAAGGAACATTATGGCTGAACTTCTTCCAGGACAGATGTTCGTTCTTTTTTGCAGTCCATGGTATTTTCAGTATGCTTTGCTAAAACCACAATTCAAATGTGTCAACTCTTCTTCAGTCTTCCGTATTCATTGTCCAGCTTTCACATGCATGTGAGGTGATTAAAAATACCTATGGCTATAGCACTTGACTGCTAACCAGAAGGCTGGTGGTTCAAATCCACCAGCTAATCCTTGGAAGGAAGATGGGGCAATCTACTTCTGTAGTGATACTGCCTCAGAAACCCAAGGAGGGGTCACTATGAGTCGGGTCCGACTCAACGGCAAACAACAACAAATGGCTTGGGTTAGGTGCACCTTAGTCTCTGAAGTAACATCTTTGCTTCTGAATACTTTAAAGAAGTCTTTTGCAGCAGATTTTCCCAATGCAGTAAGATGTCTGGTTTACTGACTGCTGCTTCCATGAGTGTTGACTGTGGATACTAGTAAAATGAAATCCCTGACAACTTAAATCTTTTCTCCATTTACCATGATGTTGCTTATTAGTCCACTTGTGAGGATTTTCATTTTCTTTATGTTGTGGTGTGATTCATACTGAGGACTGCAGAATAAAACTATACCAAATCATAAATAAATATAAGTTAGTCAAAGTTTTGATTTATCCTACTGGACAAATTTTTTTGCTCGCGGGAAAGGTCTTCATCAGTATGTGCTTCAAGTCATCCTCACTTTCAGCAAGCATTGTTGTGTCACCTGCATATCACAGGTTGTTGATGGTTCTTCCTCTAATCCTGATGTCACCTTTTCTTATATAGTCCTCCTTGTTTGCTCAGAATGCAGGTTGAATAAATATGGTGAAAGACACAACTCTAACATACACCCTTCCTGATTTTAAACCATGCAGTATCCCCTTGTTCTATTCAAATGACAGCCTCCTGGTTTATGTACAGGTTCTTCGTTAAGTGGAGCATGATTAAGTGTTCTGGAATTCCCATTCTTTGCAGTGTTTATCCATAGTTTGTTATAATCCACACAGTTGAATGCCTTTGCATAGCCAATAAAACACAGGTAAACATTGTTCTGGTATTATTTGCTTTCAGCCAAGATCCATCTGACATCAGCAATGTTATCCCTCCTTCCACATCCTCTTCAAAATCAAACATGCATTTCTGGAAGTTCCCCGTCAGTATGCTGCTGCAACCATTTTTGGATTATCTTCAGCAAAATTTTACCTGCTTGTGATATTAATGATATTATTTGATAATTTGCACATTCTGTTGGATCACCTTTGTTGGGAATTGGCACAGATACTGATCTCTTCTAGTGTTGGCCAGGTAGCTGTCTTCCAAATTTTTTTGGTGTAAATGACTAAGCACCTCCAGAGCTGCAATCCATTTGTTGAAACATCTCAGTGGGTATTCTATCAATTCCTGGAGTCTTGTTTATTGCCAGTTCCTTCAGTGCAGCTTAAACTTCTTCCTTCAATACCATTGGCTCTTGATCATATCCTATCTCCTGAAACAGTTTGACCAATTCTTTTTGATACAATGACTCTGTATTCCTTCCACTTTTCTTTTGATGCTTCCTGCATCATTCAGTATTTTGCCCATAGAATCTTTCAACTTTGCAACTCGAGGCTTGAATTTTTTTTCAGTTCTTTCAGCTTGAGAAATGCTGACTGTGCATCCCTTTTGGTTTTCTAACACTAGATCTTGGCACATTTCATTATAGTACTTTACTTTGTCTTCTCAAGCTGCCCTTTGAAATCTTCAGTTCTTTTAGTTCAGCATTTTTTCCATTCACTTTAGCTACTCTACATTTAAGAGCAAGATTCGGTGTCTCTTCCAACATCCTTTTCTAGTCTTTTTAATGACCGGTTGCTTTCTTCATGTATGATGTTCTTGATGTCATCCTACAATCTGTCTGCTCTTTGTTCAGTGGTGTTCAGTGTGTCGAATCTGTTCTTCACCTGGTCTCTAAATTCAGGTGGGATATAATCAAGGTCATATTTTGACTCTTGTGTACTTGCTTTAATTTTCTATAGCTTCTACTTAAACTTGCATATGAGCAATTGATGGTCTGTTCCACAGTCAACTCCTGGGCTTGTTTAGACTGATGATATTTAACTGATATTCCTCCTTAGCCAAGGTGAAACAAAATACAGTGCTTTCTTATATACAAAAAACCCAAAAAACTCACTGCCATCGAGTTGATTCCAACTCGTAGCTACCCTCTTTGGGTTTCTAAGGCAGTAAATCTTTACAGAAGTAGACTGCCCAGTCTTCCTCTTATGGAGTGGCTGGTGGGTTTGAACCACCAACCGTCTAGTTAGCAGTCAACTGCCTTAGGCACTACACCACCAGAGCTCCTTTCCATACATACAAGCTCACTGAAATCTTTAAAACACTGAATAATTTTCAAAAGTGTTTGATTTTTCATAAATAAACCTATTGTATTATTTTTCATGCAGTAAGAAGATAGGAAATCCTCGGATGGATTTAAATATGATTAGCTTAATGTTTATTAATTCAAAATTGATGCATTAAAGTACATTATCAGATGTTTTTCTTTATCCTAGCCTATTCCAATGGAAAATCCTTATAAGGAGCCTCTTAAAAAATGCCTCTTGTGTGGAAAACGTGTAGATTATAAGAATGTACAGGTGAGATCTTGTTTTACTTCACAATGATACTTGATGTTAAAGTTTTATTCCTTTATGATTACTACTTTAAGACAGCTGTCAGTTTTCTAGCAGGTTTTGTGTAGAGGCAACTATTTTAACAGCTTTATAATTTCAAGTCTGGTTATCTACATACAAGATGTTTGTTTAAAGAAGAGCCTCTTCACTCTTCCTTCATTTACTGATACTTCAACTCAGTATTTTTGTTTTTTCTCTGCCCTAACACAGCTGATTATGACATAAGTCATTTGATGGTCACTCACTGTTGCAGCTCTGGTAGTGTAGTGCCTAAGGCACTTGACTACTAACCAGAAGGCTGGTGGTTCAA